CACCTGGAGGGGGGAAACCGATGCATCGGGTCTACACGGAGGGGATCTTGCTATGGGTCTGGCCCGGATGTTGCTCCAAATTGTTCCTATGGGCTGACCTAACACAACCGGGTGGAGAGGTCCACTGGTCAAAGCCTGTCCCTGTAAAGTCAAAGGGCTAGATCTCGTGGTCAAACGCTACAGTGTTAGGTGGGACGGGGGCCCTGTGGGGGTAGTAATGCCACCGGAGCGTCGCACCATGCCCTCACACATGTGGGGTGGTGTGGTGGCATGTCCGAACAGGCGGCACGCATCTCCGGGGTTTGGCCCCCTCCAAGTGACGGCGGCACTGCCTTGCGTGGAGGGGGGCCACACCTCGAAGCCCCAAGACGGGCGTCTACGCATGCCAAAACACTTTCACATATGCATTGGGACCCGTGTGATGTTTCGGTGACATAGCTACACCCCGAATCCCCCCACTAACCGGATTCCCTCCGTGTCGACCGTTTCCCCCCTCCGTGACACGGCGACAACGACGTTCGTAACGGGGGGCAATCGATATACCATCGGGGTATGTTTTTCAGATAAGGAATAATTATCTTATGGAAAAACAAAAAATAATATAAAGTAAAAATAAAAATAAAATAAATGTATGCTGACGGCAAGGCCGTCAGCATAGCTGCGCACACGGAGGTACAGTCCCACTGATCGATGACGTGGCATCGCACACAGATCGATGACATGGCAGAGGGGCATGGCCCAGGGCTATGCGGACGGCTATGTCGTAGGCATATCTCTGCCACACAACGCCCCCCCTCCCCCGCTCGGATTGATGACATGTCGACGACACGGATCGGTGATGTCAGCAACTCTATGTAACGGCCGCCGTTACCTCCCGTCGACGTAGTTTCAACGCCGTCAAACGGTCAGCGCTGACCGGGTAGGTGGGCCTGGGCTATGCCAACGACCTCATCTATGTCGACGGGCCCCGTAGGCGTATGTAGAGCGGTCCCGACGGCCTCATCTATGCCGACGGCCCTGTCGGCATAGATAGACGTATGCCGACGGCTTTTCTATGCCTACGGCCTGTCCTAGGCCGTCAGGATAGGTCTATCTATGCCGACGGGGGCCGTCAGCATAGATGAGGCCGTCAGCCTAAGCTGATTTTCTGGTAGTGAAGGAGGGAGCGGCCGGGTCGAAACCCAAACGGATGACGTTCCTCGGTTACTAAAGCTCCGCGTTAGTAGGCAAAACATTCCACTCCTCGGTAGCTAGATTGCACACCGCGTACTCTCCATCAGCGTCGGAGTCGGAGGCCATGCCGGAGTCGGAGTTGGAATTGGAGCCGTCATCGATTGTACATGATTTCTTCCAGCACCTTCAGAGGAGAAGGCCGCCGCAACAGTCGACAACTCGGACGTCTCCATCCGATACGTGGTGCAGGAAATGGAGGTCCGGGTCAAAGAGGGGCTGGCCTATCCCTGAAATGTTAAGGAAGTGGTGCTCGTGGTTCTCGTCGTCGCGGTGCGGCATAGCAGAAGGAGCTAGACAGGGCCTGAGGCGACCTCTTGCGGAGGCCGGGGTCAGAGCAGAGGGCATAGGTAGACATGTGTGGTTGGGCAATCCTCACAACATGAATTATATATACCTATGTACATTATTACCCATCAATAAAGTGTGAGATTTCTAAAAAATGCACTTAGTTTGTTTTCGGTAAAAATCTGCATTTAATAGGTGGGATCTACCCTCCCAGCATCTAATATGTACTTCCGCTAGCTGCATCTAAATTAATGACAACATAGCGAGATAGTACATACACTAGTTTAGACCTCTTTTAATGCAAAGATGCTTGCTACACCTTGTACAGGTGCTAAGCCTTCCACATAGGCAAAATATCTAATGTGGCAAGTTATTTAAGAGGAGAGATATGGATGTGGTGACCCCAGGAAAAGACAATGCTAATCATGTGAACCTAGGCAAAACATTTAAATGAAGGAAGCCCACCAATACATGAAGAGATTTAGTTACTAAATCATTAAATGAAGCAAGCTTAGCTACCATAAGCTAAGCACCTATGCATTGGGGAGTATAGTTGCTAAGCTATTTAATGTGCTTAACACCTCATCTAAGCACCCATGCATTGGCAGCAGCCTTAGATGAGGTGCTAAGGGCATTAAATACCTTAGCAAATCAACTCCCCAATGCATAGGTGGTTATCTTGTTGTTGCTAAGGCTAGTCATAGTGGGAGTAACTTAGCTAGTAACATAGCGGACATCGAAAAAATTCTGCTTACGTGGCAAGTAATTAATGAGAGGTGGTAACATAATATGTTACTCTAACACAACGCTTTACAAGATAAGATGAGTCTACGAGCTAATAAATGAAGCCATCTATGATACTACTATTATGTTACTTTGCATTATGAAGGTAGTAACTTAGACTAGTGTCATATGCATGACACTAGTCTAAATTACTCCCCACTAAGCACACTTTATTTAAATGATTTAGCACCTAAAGTCTTTCATCCATTGGTCAAATTATTTCATTTAAGTGGTTTGCCTAGGTTCTCGCGTTTGGCATTGGTTCTTCCTAGGGTCACAAAAGTACTCTCTTCCCTCCTTAAATATTGTGTCATGTCAATTTTTCGCTTATGTGGTAACATCTATCCACGGTGGAGCACTGGGAAGGTCCTTATAAGGCTGGTTGTAATGGGGAGTCTCATATACTAGTATCATGCATATGATACTAGTGTGTGATACTACCTCCGTAATGCATAGTATCATAAGTTAGTATCTTAGATTACCTTATTAATTGCCATGCATGACACAAACTAGCGGAGCATTTAATATGATACGGTATCATGATATGATACTACATGCTCTCTTTCCTCATTTAATTATGTGCAACATCATCCAAAACGTCTAGTTGGCATGCATGATACTACTTATGATACTCCCACTACAACCAGCCTAATTAGAACCTACTAAATGAATCAAATGCAACCAATAAATTTTCCAGCAAGATGTCACCCATGCATAATTTAAGCATGAAGATAAGTGAACGTTATCCATAGCACACTACCTATATAGAGAGAGCCTAAGTGATGCACAATCACACATTGATCAAAAACATACATATACCTAGTCACCTGCCTGCATAAGTTTTTTTGAGTGCTGCCTGCGTAAGTATTGGTCCGCATCTTTCAAAGTTGATTGATATGGCTAGTGCTAGAGCGGTTGCCATGTTCTACCTTGTAGTTTCTGTGACGGTCTCTTTTTTCCCAAACCATACATGGGCAAGTAAGTCTCAAGCTGCCATTGAAAAAGATGAGGTGATGGAACACTGTAAGTTCATTAGAAAAGGTGTGCACTGGCCATTCGAACCAAGCAAGGCATGCTGCCAAGTAGTGACGCGTTCAGTGAACCTCCTAGCATTTTGCAACGCGTTTATCGCCGTAGATTTGGCACAGATCGATCTACAGAGGTGGGCTGCCGTCACTCGTTCGTGCGGTAACGCGTTGCATGAAGGAGACAATTGTGCAGGTTTGTTTTGATGTTGATATTAACGTATAGTTGATGTGTTTATATGTGTTTTGTTTGAGAAAAATTGTTTATATTGTCACATATCTTTGCATACTTATTATCTCCATGTAAGGAAATTAGTTAACACTGGTAGAAAAAGGGCCTGTTGTCCCGGTTCGTAAGGGCCTTTTGTCCCGGTTCCTGAACCGGGACTAAAGGGTCGGTACTAATGCCCTGCCCCTTTAGTCCCAGTTCAATCCAGAACCGGGACTGATGGGCCTCCACGTGGCCTGTGCGCGGAGCCCAGGCAGGAGACCCTTTGGTCTTGGTTGGTGGCACCAACCGGGACAAATAGGCATCCACGCGTCAGCATTTCTGTGGCTGGGGTTTTTTTGAAAGGGGGGGAGGGGTTGGGGGGTTTTGGGGGTTTTAGGGAGTTAATTTTGGTGTTTCATATATTGTGTTAGCTAGCTATAATTAATAGAGAGAAGTGTCCTCTCTTATGTCCGTGCTTGGTCGACGCTACGTACTATACATACGTATAGAGAGGACTAGACACGCTAGCTAGCTAGTAAGCAAATGAAGGAAACAGAAGATCGTCATGAACATATATGCATACAGAGAGAAGTGATATCGACCACCTCTCCTTCTCCGAGAGATTGGTCCAACAACAAGTTCTCGTATATCTATCCGACACTACCGGCTACATATATACAATAATTATCTCTTACAAATATAATCATACGGACTCATGGTCCACATAGTATTCTCCGTCTTCAGCGATCACATGTTCAAGAAAGAATGCCGCCAATTTCTCTTGAATTGCTCGCATGCGAGCTGGTGCTAGGAGTTCATCCCGCTTCCGAAACATCTAATTTGAAGAAGGGGGTTAATACATATATATATATGAATGAATGAAACTCAACACAAATGATGGTAATAAAATAAAATTGTGAATGTTGTTATTTACGTACTTCATATTGTTCGTCAGTGTAGCCCCGCTCACAGGTCGTGTGGCGGATGGACTCGCAAACGTAGTATAAACAGAAATCATTCCCTTTTTCTTGCCACAACCACTTTACAAGAAATAGAGGTCAATCAAACTGATAAGCAAGAATGCCAAATCAATAGGAGATGCGCGGAACATGCTACTATAGTACTTACTTTCGGGTGTCTAAATTGCAGCTTCTTCGGGAGTCCTGGAGCTTTTTTGGAGAATTTTTTCCAAACCCTGCCAGACAAAGAAAACAATTACTTGATATATCAAGAAATGAACAAAGTTGCTGATATGGTGGATAATGATCGATTTAACTTACTTCTCGAGCATTTGAGTCATGTCCGCATAGTCCTCGAGATCTTTTCGTTTTGAGTCTAAGACAGTTACTAGTCCCTGCTCAAGCTTAATCTCTAGGAGAATATAGTGGTAACTGCACACACATGCATAACTCATCAATTACATTACTATAACCTTGACTAATATATATAAGGGAAACCGAATACGCACAAGATAGTAACACTCACTTGAAGTTGTAAGGAAAGAGTATTATATCTTTGTTTTCATTTATTACCAACAATCGTAGCAAGTTGGCCTCGGTATCTGCGGCATGAAATTTAACCTGAGTTGCATCTATGAGATATGTGTTAATGAACCCAATATCACCGACTTGTCTTTTCTTCAATTCGGCGATCTTCAATCTGCATAATATAGTGAGGATGATTATAAATACATGCAATGAAAGAGCTGAGCTATATAGAGAGACTTAATGACAGAAGTAGTACTACTTACAGATAGTAGCAGGTGACCGTTGTTTTATCGAGGGCCAATTGATTGAAAAACTGAAAGAACTCCTCAAATGGAACAGAGAACAGTTCAATTCCAACGAGGTCATGCTCCTTTTTAACTTTCACATACAAAGTACTCCTCCCCCTAGAGTCTCTTTAGATTTTCAAGTACCAATCATGCAATCTTCGCATCATCGTTGATAGAGATCTTTCATCTTTGACGAGAGGCTTCCCGTACTCGTATCTTTGTATCTGCACCTCCATGGGTTCATAATGTACATCGTCGGGCAGGTAATCGGCAAGATTGCTATAACCGGGCACCATCCTCGGATCATTAGCGACGTTGTCGCTAGGCACCTTGAGCGGGGGGCACGATTGCTTCGCTTGTTCGCCGAGCTGGGCAATTTGTTTCCCAGCTCGTCGTTCTTTCAGCCTTTGATCACTGACAGTACTTCCCGACTGCTCCACTTTGGCAAATTCCTTTCCAATAATGCGCTCATAGTTTCCTTTCGGCGGAGACATGGGTGGTTTTGTTAGGGCAGCCAGAGTGCGCTTCGCTTTCACCGGATCTACCTTCTCCTCCGGAGGTCGATGTCTCTTTGCTTTCAACCCTTGAAACCAGTCATCCACTTCGGTTCGTGCGATCTTCACGTTCTCCTCCGGGGTCCTGTTGTATAGTAACTTCTCTGGAGTCTTCAAAGAAGGACCGAATCTGTCTGTCCTCCCGCCTCTGGCTGTACTGCTAGACGCCAGCCGAGCAGACGGAGCGACTGTCTTCTTTACTTGCTTACGAGGCGGAGGAGAAGGACTATGACGCGCCAGAGCAGCCGGAGTGGCGGCAGGTCTCTTCCGCCCTTGTGGACGAGGCCGAGAAGGAGGAGGCTAGTTGCTCGGGCGTGTCGGCGCAGGCGGAGAAGGAGGCGGAGTGCCGCCACGCACTGGAGAAGGAGCCGGTCGAGTGCCCTGATCGTCACTCATCAGAGGAGGAGGCGGTGGAGGAGGCGGAGTGCCCTGACTCACCGGAGGAGGAGGCGGAGTGCCCTGACTTGCCGGAGGAGGAGGAGGAGGCGGAGGCGTCCAGTTCGGAAGGTTGATGAGCTCCTTCCGTCATAGGCATGGAGTCTTCAGAGCAGACCCCAGCCTAGTCTCCCCTTCACCGGTAGGGTGGTCAAGTTGGAGGTCCTCAAATCCCTCCGTTATTTCATCCACCATCACCCTAGCATATCCTTCTGGAATCGGCCGGCGGTGAAAAGTTGCGCCGGGTTCAGTAGGATAAACAGAGCCAACAGCCGCCTTGACCTTCAAATTCATCCATTGCGTCATAAGGTGGCAATTTTGAGACTCCGTGATAGCATCCACGGGATAGCTGGCAGGAGCCGTCAAGGCATGCTCCGGCTGAAGCAGCTCGGTGGAAGCCACGCTGCTTCTCCGCTGAGATGGCGGGGTAGCTTCGGTTGAAGCTTCGGCAGTACGTTTGCTGCGATTTGCTTCTTGTTCCTCTATTGCTTGTACCCTTGCTTGCAGCGCCTGCATTTGGGTCTGCTGCACTTTTTTCCTCCTCTCATGGGATTTGTAACCGCCTGCATTCGGAAACCCAACCTTCCATGGAATGGAGCCTGGCGTGCCTCATGTCCGTCTAGGGTGCTCAGGATTCCCGAGGGCCATTGTGAGCTCGTCGTTCTCTCTGTCTGGAAAGAATGTCCTTTGCTGCGCTGCTTCGATATAGTGCTGAAGCTTCCTGACTGGTATGTCCATTTGATCATTCGTCCAAATGCACTTCCCTGTTACAGGGTCCAAGGTTCTGCCAGCCCCGAAGAACCAAGTCCGGCAACGGTCTGGCCAGTTAATTGTCTCTGGTTCGATCCCTTTATCAACCAGATCATTCTCAGTCTTGGCCCACTTAGGCCGGGCTACGAGGTAGCCACCTGACCCCGTGCGATGGTGATGCTTCTTCTTCGCAGCATTTTGCTTTTTTCTCACCGACATCTTCTTACTCTTTTTCGATGTCTTGTGGGCCACAAATGCGGGCCAGTGATCTCTGATCTTCTCATATCTGCCCTTGAATTCTGGTGTATGATTATTTTCGACAAACTTATTCAGATCTTTCTTCCACCTCCTGAATAGTTCTGCCATCCTCTTAAGAGCAAAAGACTTGATAAATTGCTCTTTAACTGGCTTCTCTGGATTATCCTCTGGCGGTAGGGTGAAATTTGACCTCAGCTCAGTCAAAAGATCATTTTTCTGCATATCATTGACATAAGAAACCTCAGGGTCTTCTGTAGCCGGCCTAAACCATTGCTGGATGCTGATCGGGGTCTTGTCCCTAACCAAAACCCCACACTGAGCAACAAATGCGCTCTTTGTCCGGAGGGGTTCAATCGGTTGGCTGTCGGGCACGATTGCTATGATCTCAAACTTTTCATCCGAGCTCAACTTTTTCTTTGGGCCTTGTCTCTTTACCGAAGTTGTGCTTGATCCGGAGGGCTAGAAAAAAGAACAAAGACTTAATTAATATGTGTACATACCAAAACAATGAATGCATCAATTAGCTAGTCAGCAGAAGCTTAACTAATATATATACCTGGCCGGACTCGGTTCGGTCACCGGAGACGTCATCACGGTCTCCTTCTTGCACCGACATTGGGTCACCGGAGCTGTCCTCACGGTCTCCTTCTTGCACCGGCATTAGGTCACCGGAGCCATCATAATACTAGCCAGCTGCTTCCAGACCATCGGTGTCGTTGAGAAACAACGAGCAGACGGCATCACTTCCTCGTGCGATTATGTCCCCCAACAACTCTTCTTGTACTTCGTCTCGGGCGGTGTCCATAGTTTCTACAAATATTGACAACATGGCAATTATTATTCAAACATGACAGATGGATATATTAGTGGCAAACGTAGAACTAATATTAATTAGTGGCCTCGACGCTGCTTCTCTAGGGTTTGGGGTGGCCTCAACGCTGCTTCTCGAGGGTTTGGGGTGGCCACGACAACGCTTCAAGGATAAAAAAAGAAGAGGAAGAAGAAAAAAAAGAGGAGAAGAAAGAATAGAGGAGTAAGAACTCCTCTATTCTTTCTTCTCCTCTTTTTTTCTTCTTCTTCCTCTTTTTTTTATCGGGAACGAGGGTCGTCGAGGGTCACCGAGCGGTAGAGGAAACCCTAAATAGCAAGTATCGTTGGTGTGAGATACATGTAGCCGTCGGTGTCGGACATTATATCCACGTCCCACAAGTGACGTGGGCGTCGAAGCCCGCGCCACTTGTGGGACGTGGATGTAGTGTCCGACACCGATGGCCACATGTATCTCACACTGACGATACTTTCTATTTAGGGTTTCCTCTACGGCTCGATGACCC